TAAAATACTTTGTATCCTACACATTTTGGTATTTAAATAATTTTGATTCTGTTTAGGAATTGAAAAAAATTACCCTTCGAACTTTTCGCAAATGACTTCGCAATTCAGATATTGTTAGTTCTCTTCCCGTGATTTGTTCAATTTCTCTTCTTAATTGGTCGAGCGTCACATGGAACTCCTGTATGTACCGATTAATAAGCTGGACCACTTCGGGTCTGTTCCAATCTTCGGTGTTCATATGTTTTATCTATAACCATACATTGGTGACATATTTTTTTAGTAAGTACAGTTGAAGTATGACATTAAGAATTACAGAACAATACGCCATGTACAAATGAACTGCCTATTTTGTATGAAGGAGAAATTTTTGGTGTTATAAATGAGTTGATCAAAGTCTGAATATATAAATACCGCGCAGAAGTTTTTGAATGTTTAGTAGCTGAAGGCGAGGAAGTTTAGCCTTTTTAATGCTATTAATTCTGGTCTTATGTTTCTGGGAATCTGCATATTGATTAAGTTTAAGATTGCACAGATAAGAAAGATTTTGGCAAATAAATATACTTAATAATCACAACTACATGACTTTCAGCATCAAAGCATTCAAGTCAGTTTTAGATTACTTCACTTAAAGGTACAGTAAATTAAGCCTTTAAGTAAATCCGATGAAACTGTTTCTATTGCAAGTCTGGATTGACTAAAGTATATTTAATGATAGTTATGGTTGAAACATCAGATTCATCGGATGCAGTTCACTTCTACACAAGAATCTTCGGATTCCATTTCGTTGCCTTGTGGATATTTGTGATTATAATGCCTATCAATAACTGCAGTTAACCATAAGTAAATAGGCAATTTTTGTTAAATCACTTTTCCAGAAGGAGTAAATCGTTTTGGAGGGAAAAGTCAACGAAGATTTTTGATCGTCTAAGTCATTATTGAAAATTAAAGGTTGATTAGTTAAATTGTACATCTTATTTATTGTTATCCTACTCTTTTAACTTTGTTTCTCGTTATTTTCAGATGATTCTCTTATTATTACTACTAATTAAAGTGTGAACTGTAATCAATGCGTTGTCTGTTTTTTTTTCAAATTTTTTCTGTACATTGTGTTATAGCAAATGTTTAGTGCAATTTTTGTCCATATTTGAGACTTCTTCCTGATAGAGTAATACTTTAATTATAAAAGCTTAAACGATGGTTTAAGCTTTTTATAATTAAAGTATTACTCTTTCAGGAAGAAGCCTTCTTGTGAGCAGAAAGGCCTAAAATGAAATGAACAATATTCTACAATTTTTTTAAAAGTAATTTTGACTTGGAAATGAACAGACTTTTGTAGAGAAGACAATAGTTATACTATTTATTCGTCGTGTATTTTTCTTCCTTTTATGGGTAGCAATAAAATTTGTATACTTTTTGAACTGATAGCTTATAATTCATTTAAAATGTTAATGATAATTTGTTGCCTCAAAATTTTGTATTGTGTGGAGAATCACAAAAACTTCATACTTTATTGCAGCACAACAGAGCAATTTTTGGGAAATTATGCGCAGTAAATAGTAAAGAGTACGTGAAGCATAAACGTAATAAAATGATCTATACTTACAAGTTTTTCGATACAATTAAAGTAACCGAAGTACAGTGCATCAACAATAAATATTAATATATGGTTATAGGATTGGCAGTAATGTTAATTAGAAATAGTACAACGACAATAATTCGTATGGTTATAAATACAGAACTTATTAGAAACTGATTAGGATAATGGATAATGTAATGTCAATTTGATTCTTTCTTGATTATTATTTTTTGGGATTAATTTACGAATATCATATAAACTTTTATGTATGAAATATCTCATACTTCGTTTAAAATACTAAATAAATATAAAGTTTTCATTTATGAAAATAAAATAAAAATAATATTTCGTGTTTTTTTATTCACAAGTGTTGTATATTCGGCTCTTTTTAATGCTCAGCTTAATAAAAGCAGCAAACAAAAGTTTGTTTCTTGATTGTACTTTCTTTTGCAAATGCTAATTTGTATAATTACGGTAAACAAATTTGTGCAAAACAGAATAAGAAGGAATTGACTAAAACAGTCAATTGTTTTATATTATGGATAGTAATTTTTACTTTTTACATCAACAAATTAGAAATTAATCGTATATTGCTGTATATGTCCTTATTAACATTGCAAATTATTAGCTGTTTTTTTTTGCTGGGATTCTTTTCGTATATTTTCTTAAATTATAGTTTGAATGCAAATACAACAGTAGATACAGTCATAAAAGATATGCTAACATGAAGATATCGATATGCATTGTTAACTTATCATTTAATATTAAGCATAATAAGGAGCTGTAAGTTACTGTTATCATTAGTACTGTATTTCATATCATTGCCAATGTATTATTAAGAATGAGAGTAAAATTATTGCCATAATAATGTTAATATTTAATTTTTGTGAAAATTGTTACTGTTTTAAAAAGTATTTTATCGAATATATATTTAGAAAGATGTTTGTTTACCTCATGCAGATAGATACTTGTAAGGTTTCCAGAAATGAATCAAATTAATACCAGTGAAAAAATTTAAATTCAAATATAAAAAATTTATTACAAATTTGTCATATTTTGCAGTTAATGATATACGTATTACATGAGAGGATGTTTATTACCCAAAATCATAATCAGCATGCAGGTACGATGTCATATAGCTTGATTATGATGTCCTTGCAAGTTCATAATAATTAAACAATTTGACACAGTAAGGCAGTATTTTAAGGAAATGAGTTATGATTGGATAAATTCAATAATTCAAATTTGAAAATTATTAAAATCTGTTTTTTAATAAGTGCAAAACAGATTGTCGGATATAATAATATGAAGTATGGAAGGATATAATTTGAATTTAGAAAAACTGTAAATTCTGCAAAAGCACAAAATCGAGCATATTATTAAGCACTGGGTCATAATATGTGTTATTAGCATGAAAAAATATGAAACTTTTATTCATTTTAATGGAATGAATTTGAATACAGAATTTAGACTTTTTTTCTGGAATTTCGCGCTCAGATAGTTTAAGTCGAAAAGGCAAAGAAATCTCAGTGGAATTAGACTAGCTTCAGAATTCAACAAATTTTGACATGATATGATATGAATATATAATCTTGATATCAAAACAAAAATAAATAAAATTGGATATGGTATTTATTTTGCTATGTTAGCTATTGTGATAGAAGTCAGAAGAGCATTTCATGCTGTTTATGAAGCTAATACTGAATAAATAAAACATAGAAAAATTTGTAAGCCTGAGTTAATCAGTTATTTAAGGGATAAAAAATAATAATTTAAAACCGAAAAAGTGAGAAAAGCAAAAAACGCATTAATTACACATGCATTAAACTATCCATAAAGTATTCAGTTAGAATTTTAGGGTCAAATAATACAAAATTATTAAAAATAATAAAGTTACAAAATGAATTGTTATTAAAAGTATTAGTAATGCACTGGAATTTGTCATTTAGCAAAACAAAAATGAATAAAATATGTGGATAGTACTTTCTGCATGCTAAAATAGTTACCTAACATCGAAGTAATTTTAAAATTTAAATAAAATAGCACTCAATTCGTTATGCAAATACCCGCTGAAAACTGCTAGATTACAATTAAGTTTTTGCATAATTAATAATTTGCATCTAATTAATTCAGCCTGAGCACCTTCGCACATTGCATACTTGGCGGTCATATTCGTTTCCTGGACACTTTCCACCAGAACCATAGCATTTGCGTACACGTTTTCGTACACCTCGATCACACGTTTCCGAACATGGTGACCAATAACCCCAGCCTAAAATCTCTTATATGGTACCACTGAAATTTTTATTGGTTGTAAAATTACTATTCTATTTTACAGTTTTTTTTTTCATTTTTTTTCATGCACTACCACTGGAATTAGTTAGAAACTATTTCAAAGCATCTTTTTATTCAAATGAGATTTATAATGTAAATTAGCGATTGCAAGCGATAACTAAGATTTCTAATAAATATTATTTCTAATATGTTACTTGCAAAATCTATTCGTCATTAGCATAATTATCTATAAAATAACTATTTACTGTACTTATTCTAGAGCAATGCTTGAGTAAATTTGCAGAACTTAGGCTAAATCAGTTAAAAGTAAAGCGTAATAAATAGTATTACTTCATGCCTTATGGTTAGTGTTAATCTCAATATCACACTGCAACTTTTGTTATATAATGAGCCACTACAAAGTTAATTATGGCAGTCAACGTATAAATCATACATTTCGGTATTTTCCACGTATTATAACTGACTAATTATTTTTTGACGTACAAATTAGAATACGTAAGAAACACGCAATGTAATACGAATTATGTTCAGCTGAATCTGATCAAGTTTTGTTGTCTTGATTTTAAATTGCAACAAGGCAGTTGTATCTTACGACGATTCAGTTTTTCTTCTTTCCTACTTTTTTAATTAATAAAAATTTGTAATAATCGAAAAATACCGATTACTGAGTAATTTATTGTTCAGCATTTTATAGCTTAACATGCAATACAGTAATAGCATAAAAAATTGCATAAAAGTAAAAAAAGATTCGATTATATAGTCACCGACAATACTTCTGCTATTGCTGATTTTGGATTCAAAAACTGCAATCAAATATATGCAATTGAAATTCATGTTTTTTGCACATTTTCTGAGAAAATTTTCAGTAATACAGGATCATTATTAGCAGTTCGTGACAAGGAACCATTACTGAATAGCCAATATCGACGAATATTTCCTTTTTGTACTACAGAAGCATTACTTCTGTTTCTCATTATTGAAGTAGTATTATTGATAGCAGAATGCAATGTGGGAACTGGCGTAGTTGGATTAATTACTGTCATTGTTGTAGCACCAATACTTGAGGTATTAACGAATATATTATTAGTCACTGTAGTAGTATCTGTAGTCCCAAATGTGTTATCAGTTATTGTAGTAATATCAGTACCATCTAAAGCGTTATTAATGATGATGGTACTGCTAGTACTAGTAAGTGCAGTAATCGTATTTTCCCCAATATTCATGCTATTGACTAATGTGTTAACAGGCGTAGTAATAAATATACCACTTATCAGTGTAGTGTTTATGGTACCATTTGATAAGGTACTTGTAGTATCAAAGAGCACTGTATTAATGGTCGGTACGGTAGCAAGTAGAGAAGGAACGAGAGAAGTTGAATTATTGGATGAGTGCTTACCTCCCCATGAAGCGGTAGTTACTGAAGATGATAATTCGCAACTTTGAGTATTGCATGATAATGTATCACTGTATGCACCACTGCATGTACCATGTTGACAGTATCGTGTACGCCATTTATAACCTCCTCCACAAGTCGAACTACAAGCATTCCAAGCAGACCATCCTGACCAAACACCTACCGTAGATGGTATTGAAGAAGGACATAACCCTTTGTTGCATTCTTCTTGCTCTCGATCGTTTCCTCTACAACCATTTTGTGACAAACACCTTCTAAATATAAATTCATTTATGTATACAGTAATCAATTAGTGCTTAAAGAAATAAATTAAGAATACAATTGTTGGTATAAAATTATATGCAAAAAATGCAGAAACTAAATTTGAATTAATTATTCTTCTGTAATTTTAAGTAATATGAATTTTGGAGTACCTGTCTCGAGTTCGTATACCATTTTCACAAGTTTTTGAGCATTGTGTCCATCCACTCCATTCCGACCACTGAGTAGCTACTTTACAAGGACCCAAATTACATGACATTCTTGACTGTCCCGAACCATCGCATGGTTCCTATCATCATTGCTCTCATTTGATATTTTAATCATTACTAATATAGGTTTAATGAATTTTTGTTTGTAATTATTAATTACAAATAATCATTGCAGAGTATTATCAATAATAGTGATAATTTTATAATGATAACAATCATGAATATGTTAGCAAATAAAATAATCAGCACTTTATATAATTTGTAATTAATTATTATCAGTGAAATTTGTGAGTATAAAAAACTTTTGAACCACTTTTGCAATTTGTAACAAACTTTAGGCGGACTTACTTTAGTACAGTACCGATTTCTACTCTGAATTCCTGGTCCACAGGTAACTGAACATTGAGACCAATCTGTCCAACTACCCCACAAACCAACTTTTTCTTCAATACACACACCCATATTGCATTCTCTTCTTTCCATTGCACTACCTTGATGAATTAAAGGTAATTCAGCAATAGCAAATCATGTTTCATTAGCTTGAAGCAAATATGAATCAAAAATGTCGTCAACTTCAAAATCCATAAATGGTAAATGAAGTTTGAGAATAAAAAAGCAAATTTCATACTATACCTGAACATGCAAAAAGGAGTGAAGCTTGTGATAAACTTGTACATCTACGGTAGCGTGCTTGTGAGCCAATACCACACGTCACGGAACATTGATTCCAAGGAGTCCAATCACTCCATACACCTTCTGCTACTGATCCTGTCTTAGTATCGCATACTGGTAAGTTACATAATACTTGCTCTGATGATGCACCACTGCAGCGTTGATTTCCACCGTTACATGATCGTGCTCTAAATCATTCTTTTCAAGTTTTTATAAATTATTCCTCTCGGTAGGAATATTTAAATAAAATGCTTAAACGTGCTAAAACTTAATTCTAAAATTAAATGAAAAGTAATTTTTGATAGATTGAAAGTAATCATATTTTAGGATAATAAAAGCAATAATTATTGTTTGAACTATATGATAAATGTAGGGTCTTGCAAAATGTCTGACATTTTCAAAGTGTTCATGCAATAATTTGGTGTTAAGCAATAATTTAGTCCAAAAAACTACCTTTGTTTGTAACCTGTTCCACATGTCTGTGAGCATAATGACCAGCTTGACCAAGTTGACCACTGATAAGCACTTGTAGTATTTAGTATAACACTTCTTTGTGGACATCGATTTTTAATACTAGAACACTCCACGTCACGTGTAATTAACGCGCTATCATCACAAGATAATGGCTGAAAATAAAAATATTATAAAAATACGTGCACAATAAACTTGAAGTTCAAAGTGTAATACTTTCTTTAAATAAAATTAAATCAAATTTTCGGTGAAATAATCAATACCACAAATAATTTGCAGAGGATTTTTAGATAAAAAAATTAGTTATTAATTATAATTGCTAAAATTGAAGTTAAGATTCACTGCTAGAATTTAGCTCCATCAAAAAAACTAACGAGGCATTCTCCGTTGAGACAATACTTATTACTAGCACAAGGAGAACCATCTGGAAGTATATCGCCAAAGAAACGATAGTTTCGCTGAGATCCATACCGACTTGCTACATCGCAAAAAACCTAAATTAATCCCTAGTAAGCACTTTAAAAAATTAAACTAATAAGTAATTGAAATCAAAAAAAAATTAAAAACAATGCAAAAGATTTCTCGAAATTATTTCACTAAGAATTCAAAATATCCTTTCTTAAAATCTGCAAAAAATCTGAAATATTATTTTAGATTAATGTGTAACACACAAATCAATGAGCAGTAAAACTTATAAAGCTTTAAAAATTATCATTAACCATAAATGATCATGGAATTCATAGATAATTAGTTCAAATATTATTATTTAAAATTATAGTGATAGGATTCTGAATTAAAGATAGTTTTAAAGTCGATCAATTTAAAATTATGTGACTACATGACCTATTTTAATTAGTCAAAGCTACCATACTTTTCGTACGGTACTTTTGAATAATTAAAATAGGTCATGTGGTCACATGGTAGTTTAATTTATCATACTTTTTTCGTTATAGCAAATCATTACAACTGTATAATACGCATTCCACTTATTATTTACTGTTAATGATTACCGTACAATATATTCCACTCATTATTACTGTTAGTAACAGCCATGGTACTACCCATCATTAATGATTATATGCTTCATTGTGAAAGCAAAGTTAACATTTAGTACGAAACAAAAATTTGTATATCAATCGAAATCAAATAAGGAAGAAACCTTGCATGCACGTTGTGGATAACGTGTTAATTGACTGCCATTGCCCGTCAAATCTGCATCATTTTTCAGTCTTTTTTGTTCTGTGCAACGTTCACTGATGTACTACAAAACATAAATGGAGAAAAAATAATAACTTGAATGATAACTTGTTAACTTCAATAAATTAGCTAACTTAACTCATTAATAAATTTGCCGGAAAAAATTAACTTATGAACTGTAATGAGATAAAAATAAACTGTACAAGTCTCACTCAGAAGAAACTTTTACTTAAAAAAGTGCTGACTTCATAATGAAATAGGCATTATTAATAATAATAACAAAATTAAATAATAATAAATAATAATAATAATAATATCGTTATTATTACCACCAAATTTACCTTTTCAACTGACTTTCTTGAGGAAGTACAATATCTATTACAAACAACTGCACGTTGTGATGATCCAATGCATTCTGCCCCACCATTTGAAGGCGAAGGATTATTACAACTTCGAATACTAAATACTAAACCAACACTACCTATGATATCTGTGCAAGTACAAGATTGACAAGAAATCTCAGACCATTGTGACCATCCACCATCAACATGCTGAAAAAGCAGTAGTAAGCTTTCAGTATCAAAAATCTAACTTTTACTTTCAAATTACTGTAGACTAGGAATTATGAAAGTAATGTCAGACATATTACGATAAGCAAGAAGATAATCATTGTCTATGAATATGTTTTTACAGTAGCACCCAAATTTTTTGCAGTATTTTTACAATTTTAATTATTACAGTATTATCAATAAGATCAAACAATACAAACTTTAGGTATTTGTGCTGAACCACCTCCAGGCCATGGCACACATCGGCCAAGTTCGCACCATTTTGATGGTCCACAAAATGTTCCTTCAAGTGCTGGATGTGAAGTAATAATTCGACCAAATAATGATTGACCACACCACATCATATAGCAAATGCCATCGTAATGATCTTGTCTTGGAGTAATCTGAATATATTTTGCAGACTTCACACTCATTCAAAAACTATCCTTCCTACGAAAGTAACAAAACAATTAGATCAAGTTTTTATTTTGCTTCACTGAATTTTTGTAACATTTCTGTATTGACAAAAATATATATTACATATACACTTTTAGCTTAATTTAAATAACTCTTCAACATTAAATAACTTCTGTTGAAATGCAGTGAATAAAAATTTTATTCAAAAATTTAAATTAAATGCATTAATTTCCAAAAATTTGTATTACACTTGATCCAAATACTGAAATTTTTTTTAATTAAAAAAATGATATAATGTTTTAAAACTGAAATTAGCATATATTTATATTGAGAATTTTTGATCTAACCTGTCGATATCCTTGGCCATGCATCATATAGCACTGTGTATCTGCGTTGTAAACTTGTCCTGGTTTAAGATCAGCCCTTACTGTCAATCTCTGAGGTAAATTTGATACTCTTAAGCAATTTTTACCACCATTACTGAAACCTGATTATACAATCATAATTGAGCAAATTTCAAAAAACTTTTTTTTTGCATAAATTTTTGATATAAAAAATACAAGAGGACAAAAAAAAAACAATTAGTTCTGATACCTACTCGAGACGTTGCAAGAACGCATGATAGTCACGCAAACTACAAGTGGACCACGTAACTTTTCCAGGACCCAGTGAAGAACTCATTATATGGTTTGATGGACAATATGGCTCATCGTGGCGCATTCCAACACTGAAAGGATTGAATTAGTTCAAAAATATTTCATAGTAGTAAATATTATTATTAAAAAAACTTATCCGACTTGAACTTAAATTATGAGTTCTGATTAAAATTTATTCGTCGAATAAGTAATTATATTTATATCAATTTTTTGCTAAAATAATTGTTAATGTGATTACAAGTGGCAATTTACTGATACTCAGATTAATGACAGGATTACCTGTGGCCAAGTTCATGAGTGCCTATGAAAGCTGAAGTAAAATCTAGTCCTTCAGCTAAGGTGCAGGTATTCCATGGATCACACATTCCATCAAGACGTGCAATACCACTAATTGATCGCGATCCAGTACCTCGGTGAATATCATACCTTAATATTCCAATTCCGCTATATTTATTGCAAAAACAACAGTCAAGAATAAAATGAATGACTTTAAAACAAAGTACCAAATAAAACAAAATATAAAACTTTGATTACCTGATAATTAGTTGTTGTTTTTTTTTTGCAAATTAAAAATAATCTGTTGTTTTGATTTAAAGTCATACGGGTTTTAAAGATTATATAAACTTTTCAGAATCAACCAGTGGAAACAATAAATTACTTTTTCAGTCAATTAATTCTTACAATTTGTGTCAATTGATCTAAATTGATCAAATAAAGATCAAAATATTCACCCAGTAAGCAATAATGCGTGATCCCAATCACGTGTATTCAAATTTCTTTGATAACGACAAAAGCGATCCAAATATTTTTGAGCATGGCCATTATCATGCAAGTGTGGTGCCATTACGTTCTAAAACTTTTTTTTAAATGTAGTTTTAATTACTTGAAAAATTTTAATTTGGTTTTTGATTTTCAAGCAAGCATAAATTTTACTTTTAGAAAAATTTTACAGCAAATGTTTATTATATATTTCAGAGGAGATTATCATTTGCATAAGTAACAATTTTCCCTCCTTTGTTTTTCAAAATTATGAAAATTAAAGTGATAAAAATAAAAAATAAAACATCCGTTTTTTCTTAATTTTTTAAATTTTGTGTTTTATATATTTAATTTGTAGTTCATTCACAAACAAGCTAACAAACTGCGCTTTGCAAAACATATTAGAACTAAGATTTTAACACTTCTTTAAGCATTTTCTATTTTTTATATATGCATGCAAGTTTTTATAAAATAATTTTGACTTATCAAAAATTTTACAGCAAATATTTATTATATATTTCAAAGGAGATATTCAGTGATATAACATTGAAATGGTAAAATTTTATTATGGTTGATTCGTAATAAATAAATAAGTAATAATTGAGGATAAGCACTTTTCATTATGCTTGAATGATTTTTTCTCAAATATTTTTTAATCAACTTATCATTTTTTTAAACAAAAGACTATAGAAAGAATTATATACAAAATTGTAGCAATATTTTAGTTTTGTATCAGCAAAAACAAGATAATAATCTTAAATTATGTTAATTGTCAGTTTATTTTTCAATCATTGAAGTATAATAAAAATTAATAATATGCATTTTAGCATTAAAATTTGTGCTATTTGTAATTTTTGATTTTGTAAACGAAGAAAATGTTTACAACATCAGTATATGAATAGCTCTTCGTACAATACAAGCATTCTCAATCATTTCAAATAATTATAATTGTTATGATGAATATCTATGAATACGCACCGGTTGGGAAGTAAGCACTTCGAAACGAACAACATGGAATGTTAGCTGAGGAACTGCACTGGGCTGATGGTACATAATTTGAACGTTGTTGAGCATTGTTAATGCATAATCTTGCAATTTGCTATTTGCTAACGAGCCATATTTACTACTAAAATCTTTCCATAATGTTTCATCTACAAAAATCGCCAATTCTACCTGAAAATGAACGAAAATTTGACAAAAAAAAACTAAAATTTTGTGATAATTTTATGCATATTTGATGCTAAATGCAATAGTTTTCAACTATAAATATCAGTTCAATCATTTTGATTAGATAAATAGTATTTATGATTGTTTAATAATTTTGTTTCTGTTTCAAAAATCAAATTCTGACTTGTGGAACAGAAATTATAAGGCAGTCAGGAAAAATTTTTATTTGCATGTTTTGTAGAGTGCGAAAATTTAATATTAATAGATTTAATTTTTTGAAAATGATTTATGTAATATTTGCAAACTACTTTAAAATTATTTTATAGTATTTATTTTGTAGAATTTTTTTATAGAATTTCAATAAAATATCTATTAATATTACAAAAAATAAAAAGTATTTTTGCAAATATTTTGTGAT